TTTGGATCTTGCCCCTGCGCGCCCCCTCCTTCTCACTTTTGTCTGAAGTTGCTTTTTTTCCGGGCATCTCAGCCCCCTGAGATGTTTCTACTCGAGAGTAACACATACACACACATACACACACACACACGGGCGCCCCCCATCCCAGGAGAAGCGTGTGCAGGGTGGTTCTCCTGCCGCCGTGTCCGTTCACACGACCGGACTGGGGGGGAGGGGAGAGAAAATCAAACGTATTTTGGGAAGGAGTGGCGTTTGAGGACGCCCTTGATAGAAAGGAAGCCCCCCTCCGCCCCCGCAGCAGAAATAGCTTTCCTCTTGGCTTTTTAGCTGGCTGTAAGCCGCCTTGAACAGGAGGGGATCTGGCCAGGCGGTTAACAAAGGCATTAGCGCGCGGGGGAGAGGAATCGCTCGAGGAAGCCTTACTTGCGAGGAGAACAGCGCTGGAAATGGGTCGAAATGTTTGTTTTTTAAGAAGCTAAGAGTGTGAGTTTGCGTCCCTTTCCCTCGACCGAACCGTGGAAACGCGAAAGGCGGTTTACTTGGCTGCGTGGAAAGGCGTCTTCCGAGACTTTTCCCATACAGTATTCTCCGGAATGGCGAGGCTGGAAAATCCCGTTTTCCCCGAAATTAAATAATCTAGAGAGGTGGGGCAACGCGTGTGTTTTGCTTCTGTGACCCATTGTTGGTTCTGCCTTTCGTTCACACGATCCCGCGGCTTAAAGGGTGTTGTGGATCGCCCCTGATCTGACAAAACGTGGCCTCGGGTCCCTCTCCTGCCCCCACCCGTTTTTTTCTTTTTGATGAAAACGCACTCCTTTTGTAGGGGCCCTCTCCTGCCCCCACCCTTTTTCTTTTTGATGAAAACGCACTCCTTTTGTATTTAAAGATTAAAGAGCCTGGAATACACATGAAAGTTTGGGAGTGTTTGGGTGTAATCAGAAACATCCTCTCATTCCCGGTGGCGGTGGGACCCAGGTTTAAGTGATTTGGAAGATAAACTCCCTAGAGGCTTCGTAGGTCCGTGTTCCGTTTTCCTCCTGGCCGCTCTGCATCTCCGGGTCCTGTGCCGCCCAGCGCCGCTTAATCTGGAATAGAACTGGTCCCCACATCAACCCAAGAAGCGACCTATAGGGTTGCCATTAGAATGGCCTTTACTCTCCTGCAAGGCGCCTCCTCTGACCGATCCCAGAAAATAATGCTAAATAAGGATGATCCCCCCTCCCCTTGCGACATCCTCCTCTCACCTGCGGTGGCTCTCATTTAAAAAAAAAAAGGTTCCAGCCATTTCATTTGGGGGGGTGAAAGTCCCTGCTTCCTTTCCTTAATCTGCATCCACTATCATCACCCCGAGTCCACCCGAAATTAACTGGACGCACAACACGCCTACAGTAAGAGAGAGGTTAGCGATCAGATGCCCGATGAGAAAAGTCAGACCTGTCCGGACTACAACACCCATCATCCCCCGTCCTGACTGAGGGAGGGGGAATAGTCAGCGAATGATGTTCCCAAGAGTCATTTTCCTTAATGGGAGGAGGGACACGAGAACATATGACCTCCCGTGGAAATAGAGACGGGGTAGCAGCGTTAGGCTGTGCAAGCATTATAGGTTAAAAACAAAAAATAATAATAAAAGTAAAAGAAAAAATAAAAAGGACAGAAACGTGGTGGCACTTTGAGGACTATCATAGATTTTTTTAAATACGAGCTACACCCTTGCAAAGTTTCTAGAAGAAGAAGAAGGGGGGGGGAATCGAGGGCTGCGAATAATAGGGGCCAAGCGCGCCTAACGGGGGTGAGACGCCTCCGCCACCAAAGAAGGGAAAAGAAGGTCCCGAGAGAGAGGGAGGGAGGGAGCGGCGGATGAATCCCGGCCTGCCCCTTTTTTGGGGGGGAGGGGGGCGAAGTAGTCCCGGGAGAGCGGCTTTTGGGGTAGCGAGGACAAGTTGGTGGCAAGTCGGTGCAGAAAGCGGGGAGGCTGCGCTCTGCCTGCCCGAGCGCCCGGCCAAGCGCGCGCGGGAGGGGGCCGAGCCGGAGCGAGGGAGGGAGGGAGGCAG